ATCCATATGACGAAGACTACCAAAAGGAAGAAAGTGGTGTCTCCCTCCATTGAAGCACCACAGAATCTTGCTCCAATAAATCTTGAAGAAGAGGAAGAATCCTCTGACCAAGGAGAACTTCAAAGGAAGAAGAAGAGGAAGATCAACTCCCCCTCAACATCTGGAAATATCAATCCGGATGAGTTGAAGGAAAAGGAACCTGCTGAGGAAACATCTGCTCATAACCGGAGCCCTCAACAATTTGAAGAAGAAATTCCTCAAGACCAAAGCCTTCCAACCTCATATCAGCATCAAACAGATGATGCAGATAACCAATTCTGGCAGCTATACTATGATTGGAAAGCCTGGAAAGTTGGGAATTCAGCAGAGCAACTGTTGAATTGGGACCAACAGCTGAAGAATGAGAAAATCATCAAGAAGTGCTTAGGAATACCAGTCAACCACAACTGTGAACAGATTTTGGATGACTACTGGGTATGGCAACGGAACCCTGAAGACTTGCATCTGGAATACCTGGCCAATACACCAGTTTCAGACTGTGAAGCAGATGATGAAGACACTGCAGTCTTCAAGCCAGTCTTCTCAAAAGCTACAAAAGATCAAGTGGCTCTCACTTCTGAAGCAACAGCTGAGGATTTCCAAACATTTCCGGAAACCTCACCTGCCCTTGAAACGGAAACCTCACCCGCATTTCAGGAAACTTCACATGCTTCTGAAAAGTCAGCTGAAATTCCGGAAAAGTCAGCTGAAATTCCTGAACAGTCAGCTCTTCCAGAAACAATGGAGCAAGCTGTTGAAGCACAAAGGAATTCTGAAGAAGCTGCAAAAGAAGCTCAAATGGCAGAACTAGAGGTCTCTGAAACTCAAGTAGCCATTTTTGAAGAAGAGAATACAGCTGAAGAAAGGGACTCCCTCTCTAGGGATATATCAAATTTTGTGCTTGAAAGAGAAGGAGAATCTGAAAGAACACTGAAGGTTACTGATGAAGAAGATGTCCAAGAAGATGCTGAATCTCTTCCTATGCAACTCTTCCAAAGAACACCATCATCTCATCAGGTAACCAACTTTCATTTCCATAGCTCTTCCACCCCTGCTCTTCCGGATGAGATACCGGAAATCTGGACAAAGAAGGTCCAAGGGCTGATTGAATCAGCCCTAGCATCTCAACATGCCTCCTTTAGGCAAGAGATAGAACAAATGGAAGTCAGGCACACCCAGCTAATAGAGA